GTGTGTGTGTGTGTGTGTGTGTGTGTGTGTGTGTGTGTGTGTGTGTGCGCGCGCGTATGCGAGCGTGTGCGTGTTTGTGTTTGTTTGAATTGGGTGCCGTGAATATCAGCGGTGGGTATTTTCGTGTGGAGGGCGGCCATGAACATTTAGGAGCTTATTACATTGCATTTCCTCACCTAGTCAATTCAAAGTATAAACTTTTTATAATGTTAAGTACAAACCTTTAAAGTGCACTTGTGATCTATTGGGACTTGTCGATCTTTGGGATTTTTTTCTGAGATTCATGTGATGATACCAAGGGTTTGGACACGTGTATATAAAGTATTTAATAATCTTCCTCGTGTTTTAGGATGGCTGCTGCGATGAGGAGACGGTCTGGGCGCGCCCTTTGATCTTTGTAAGGTATGAAAGATTGTCTGAGTCTTTTTCGTTGTTCTATCTTAATTTCAACTTCTCTTTGGGGTTGAAACTTGTAAAATCTACAACTTGATACCATTATTATGAAGAGATATAATAATAAGATGAGGATCTTCATTGTGCTGAAAAAATTAAGTTGGTTTTCGTTACTACAGAACGAGAGTAAAATACCCGGAGCACTTTTTTCTTATCTTGAAACAGATTAATTATAAATCTATACATGGAATGCGCAACAAAAGTACTAAACTGTTGCAAAATATCATTGCGTATGAGGAGGAGTGTGTTTGTGTTGCACAAATTGACCTTGAGAATTGGCACCACGTTAGTGTTACTTCACACGAGCTCTCTTAAAATTGTTACCAATAACCTGTGATAAAATATCTATTGCTCTGTTGATTTTCTGTGATTTTCCGATAACAAGTAGCTGTCAGTAAATAAAATCAAATATGAGGCACTGATATGACAAAGATGAATCGGAGATAAGATAAAATATGCGATGTATGAACCTAGTTTATCCCAATTGCCTTGTAACTCTCCTGATATTAAATGGATGCTAATATTACTTTACGAAAGCTGGCGTTTCGAAAAAATATAATAAACTTTTAGGGTGAAATGAATTTATGAGCTAGGACCATCCATTGATTTTTGATATCCTATCAACCATTTTGTTTATACGGGCCGCATCCAGGCGTATGCATGCCGAAAGCAAGGCGAGAGATATCAAATGGAATTATAATATTCATCTATTAACTCAGTCCATGCCATTAGTACGGTCATTAGACCGAAGCAGGAAAATGTTAAGAAAACATGTCACAAATAGGAAAATATGAGTAACAGTGAAAGCATTCCGCAAGTACAAACCTGGGAATTTCAGCGGTTATCAGGATACCGTCCTCTAGATGCTGTTCGGCACGGCCGTTGAATTTTAGAGGACATGAAAGGGCTTCTGAATCTTTTTCTTTGTCGATCCTGAGGTTCAATTAGGACTACCCCCCTTTGGGGCTTTGAACGTTTACATGAATAACAACTTGACACCGTGATAATCAAAATTAAGAGTTTCAGTAATAGAAGCAGCATCTTCAATACGCTGAAAGAATTAATTCGGGGTCAGCGCAAAACGTGAATAAAACTGCCAAATCATTTTTTATTGTTAAATTTAACAAGAGCCTGAACAATATAATGGCAATACGTTTTGTTGTTGCGCGGGATGTAACAGTTAACTTTAATGGAGATAGATTAAAAAAGAATATAGTGAAATTGCACTAGAGGTACTCTTTAACACGTTGGCTGCCATGAATGTCTGCCTTGCCTCGACGTATTTTCCGAGTGGCAAAAAGAGTCACTGGTTGTTGACAGCAAAAAAAATAACTACTGTCAACAAGCTACCATTGTACAAGGTACCTTTATTAGTTATCTATTCGGTAACATCTGCTTACTCACAGTTTGATCTGAAATTTTACCGTATTTCACATAAGTATATACAATACGTTCGGCTCATCCGTAGAACAAAGATCTATGCAAAACCACTTGTTCTCAGGACGTAGTACATTCGTTCGTTCTACTTCGCTGTGGATGTCAGATCCACCGTTGATCGATTTTATATTTCCGAAATGAAATAAGATATATAAATTCTCTAAACACCTTTACGTGAGCCTTAGTTTGAATAAGAAAATTATCCTCGTAACGTACTTATTCTCTTTTCGCTATATAATCACATCGGACTATGTTCTTCGGATGAGTCGAGTTATTGTCACTTGATATAAATTATAAAAAAACTAATTTTCTTTAATACCCGTTGCACAAATTGCGTTACGGTCATTTGACGAAAATATTAAGTCACGAAATTCGGAGTTTCTGCAAAAATGTATCTTCGTGTTACTTCGTGTAACTTTTACTTTTTTAATAAATACAAAACTGACGGGGGTTAGAATAGAAAGGACGTGCTAAGGTGTTGTTAAGTACAAACCTTTCAAGGGCACTGATTTTGTTCGCTAGCAGTTTGTTTCAATGGTTGACCAGGACACATAAGATAAGCTTTGTACCCTTACAAAGGAAATTTAGTTTAGGAAATTTAACCCTCTTTCGAGGCTTAGAGCGCACGTATCGTCATTGGTTTATATTTTTTACAACTTGACACCGTGATAATGAAGATAAAAAGGTGGAGTAATAGAAGCAAGATCTTTTTCATTCTAAAATAGTTCAAAAACGAGCTTAAACTGCTGAGCGCAACAAATGGCAGTTTTAATTTTAACACAATAATAAATTTTCTGGTGATAATATGCTTTGATAACAAAGTGAAACAAACTCACACTCCTCAAGAACACAAACACACCCGGTGGGGTGTGTGTGAAGTGGGCGCAGAAGCTGCTATAAGATAATATCAAGTGGTTTTAGAAGAATATTTTAATTTGACAATAAAGTATACATTCTTTGTTAATGGCATTATGTAGACACGTGAACTAAATAATGGACCAGTTTAGTAAAAGTTATTCAGTAAACATAATTAATGAAGAAACAATCACACACATATTACAAACATAGTAATACCCACAAATACCTACTCATCCACAAACACACACAGACGCCCTTGCCAATAATTTAAACAAGTAAATACATTAGTTTTGATGAGAAAGTTTAATGTGACGCTTTATTTAAGACTTATTTAGTAGTTGTACAGTTTTCTAGGCTTTTCATTCGTCTCCTGACCATCTAACAAACACCCTCAATGGTCACAGATTAACTGACAAACGGTAAGCAACTCTCGACTTTTTGCGGTGTTACCATTGTCACAATTTTTATTCCGAGATATCACACTCAAAATGTATTTAAAGACAAATCGAGCACGTGGTCGCATTGAAATAATCCTTGAATAGTAAAATTATACAAAAACCTCATATATGTGGTGATAATCTTATAGTAAACTAACATAATGGCTGCCCTGAGTATAAGCACTATGGTTCCGTATTTTCTGTGTGGCCGAATTTGAATGAAATTTCGAATTTCATTATTCCGAACACGGTTCGACGGTTTTTATAATTAAATCATGTTCAATCAACTTTCTCACTCGAAGAATAGGGGAATTTTGCTTTACTACACTTTAGTATGATCCAATAAAAAAGATTATTGTGATTAATATACGTGGGGCGCACTGTAAGTTTCCGGAATGAACAAGAAAAAAATACTATAAATGGTTAGAAATGAATTTATTGTTTCTCAAAATATTCTCCGTTAGCGTTAATGCACTTTTTCATACGAATGAACCAATTTTGAAAACATTTATGCCACTCCTCCGTGACAATCCCTGAAACATATTTTTCATACTCTTCGACAATCTCTTCAGGTGACGAAATCCTTGACCGCGTAACTGATTCTTAATTATTGGAAATAAATAAAAGTCACAAGGTGCCAGGTCGGGACTGTACGCGGGATGGCTCATAAGGTCAACGTTGTTCACCTTCAAAAATTCATTTGTCTGTCTGGCCGTGTGAGAGCTGGCATTATCGTGGCGCAAGATGATACGGCGTTTACGGTTATTTTTACGCAGTTTATCAATAACTTCCGGCAAACAAATGGTCGTATACCAATCACTATTCACGGTACAACGATTCTCCAAAGCAACAGTAGCCACGTGACCAGTTTTAAGACACTTTGCACGTGCGCCACTTTGGTTGGTTTCGGCTCATCTCGAAAGACCCATACGCTGATTGCTGCTTTGTTTTGGGACCGTAACTACAAATCCATGTTTCGTCACCTGTTACCGGTGAGCATAAATAATACTAGTGACGCAATGTCCTACAAACAGATGTCTAAAATGTGGGACCATTTTATTAAATTTAAAGGCTAGCTTTGAAACAGATTGAAATTTCAAAGAAAAATATATTTGTCTCTTTTTTCTAATGTCAAACTTATCATGTCTAAATGAGATAGTCATAGTGCATTAAGGGATACGACCAGTGTTACCGGTTTAGAAACAATTTTCCCTAATTTCTTGTAGCCTTACTGGTGGAAAGAGACAGTGGAGACAGATAGTAATCAGAAATGGAATGAACGAGTGAGTGAAATATACATGAAAATGTATGAAATTCATTAGTGGGAGGTGCCTATCATAGGTAGACCAACAGCTAGGGATGTTCACCCCTTTAGCTGTGAGGAAGAGGGATGTAGTCTAGGCGCTACTCTATGAGTAGAATCACTGGCTGAGTGAATAGATTCATAATTAGAATGCTTTGAAAATGAACTAAGAGAAAAGAATGGAGCATCTTGACATTATTGATTTGTAACCCAAAACGAGTAACATGTAAAAAAGTGAAATAAAGTATATTTTTAAAGATTATTCCAGTTTATATTCATAAAAGTACCTCTCGCTATGCATTAGAGCTATACCCCTCAGTACAGTACCTACATTACAAAAATTCCCGCGCCCGGAATGCTTCCGCGGCCACTTCTATGTGGCCAGAATATAAAGGCCTAAAATATAGGAATGCATCAAGTCTTGCATTAAAATAAATTAATAAAATTGAACTAAATCCAGACTTTATTTAAAATAATAACAGACTTCATATTACATTATTGCTTTGGAAACAATAGGACGTTCGGTAACTTTCATTCGATAACCGTGTTCTGAATAACGTTTGTAGCCTTTGCCGGTCGAGAAGTTTAGGGTGACGTCATTTCGGTTCGGTTCCGAATGCTAGTTCCGACGTTCGATTCGGGTATTGTAAATAAAAATGAAAAGAAATCGGTCGACAAATTAGTTATCGTAAAGGTTCTGAATCGACCCCTTAATATTGTTTCTGAGCTTGTGGCATAAAGCAACGACTTAACGCAACCCCACATACAAGTAATCCAGCGGCGTTAGACCGCATGAGGTGACCTAACGACCGGACCATTTCACGAGGTTACACGAATATCGAACTTCCTTTTCAATAGATCGATTGTTTGAGTAACTGCAAATATGCTCGCGGTGGTCATATGAACGAGATGGAATTCGATTCTGAAATGTAGCATGCTTACTGCACCAAATAAATTCCAGCTCAATGTCTGAATTATTCTGTGTTTTATTGAAATACAAAATTGTTATGACCTTATTGGAGGCCAGAGTAAATTACCAATCGAAAAGTGCGACAGCGAAAGTTAATACGCCTGGTGTCATACATCCCACACGATATATCACATGTATGTAATACCACATGCACTTATTCACCCATACATTATTGCAGGTATCCTGCAGCCTGAAACCCACAAACTTATTCATTCATGTAGGATAGAGTTTTTTAAAATTGAGACGTATTCGGCGGCCACATAAGAAAAAAGAATCATTCGTTTTATTGGCGAAATAAAAGTATCGATTTTAAAATTTTTGGGGTTACTTACTACTTACTCATGTGAGCACTACAGCGTTCAAGTTTGGAAGGGTAAGGGTGCGGATGAAATTACTGGCACATGGGACTTGTCAACTTATGTCTCAGGGTGATGGAAGATCTAAGATCTTTGCGAATTTGTGGCACTGCAACTATTAGGGATTGGCGTGTCGTTTGTTCGTCCCATGAAATTGAAAAAATAACCTTATTCATTTCATGATTCGAGTTAATAAAGAACTTAATTAAAATCATGTTTTACTGTTCAAATGCCTAGCCTATAAATATGGCAACCAACTTTTGAAACAGTCTCGGAAACTAGTTATTCGCGAGACCGCACCGAGTATTTACTTTTTTTCCGGGACGCGGAAATGCAGCGAAATTGAAAGCCTTGTGTTTTGTGAAAGATCTTTGTACTGGATTTTTCGACATTCTGAGCCTCTAGTGACATCTAGTGAGAGATTTTAGAACCTCCAAACAAAAATGCTTCGACTTCAGTTTTGCGTGTGGATACAGCGAATGTAAAGCTGTTCTTAAAACTATCATCTGCCACTGGCCACGCAACCCCGTGACCATGGAGCGTGTAAGGGCGCGTTACCATTATGACATGACGACAGATAGTCGTGCAGATTAAAATGTCGTGGCTCGTTCACACATAGAACAACACGATTAACTGTCGTTCACGTTTTGACGTTACGAACATGCGAGTTTAGATAATCGCAGCTTTAAACGATTCCGTTATGCAAGCGACAAGGCGGCTGCCATAAACCGACAAATTATCGTCAAGATCTCGTGGGAACAGCTAGACACGACAGTCGATCAACGATAAAACAAACGTCCACGGCACAGTCACAACAGGTAGTCGTGATATGGGAGCAGGCTAGACGCGACCGTTCCAAAATATAAGAATAAAAAGAACTTATACCGTGGTAAGAAACTTATAAGTAGTGATAATCATTCAAAAATATACGCAATTAAGCTCCGGAAAATCTCGAAAACAAGGGTCGCGAGAACAGGAGAACGCAATCACGGGCTCCGGCTACTAAAAAAAAATTACTATGTCTAATAGAAACCATCACACTTATTAACGCAGAATCGGCTTGAGGTTATCAGAAAAAGCTTTAAGTCCATGCAGGAAGAGCAAAACAGACTGCGCCTTTTGTTTCAGCTCGAACAATAGCCCGATTTCTAGGTATAGTATATTTAGCATCTAAAATTGCAATGGGGTCCACGTGTGAATAAGTTATCAAAACTCACATCTGCAGTGTATGCGATTTGAAGACTACGAAAATTTTTAGACGTTAAAACTACGTCACGTAATGGCATAAGGCATTTTGCTTTATTTATTAGGACTTATGGAAAGACGTTTAGTATACTAGTTTCAAAATTGCGTAATAGATTTTGATCAATCAAACAGCTTAGGGCACTTAATACTAAAAATGCGTGAATTGTGTCCGAAAGTGTATTTTTATGAAAAATAGTGACAGACATAGTCAATGTATAAGCTTCTATAAAAGTGTCCCGCTTAGCTCTCGCAGATAGTCTCGATCTTGGTTGTTTAAATTAAATATTGTAATGATAATGGTATTCAAATACAAACTTATTTAAAAAGAGCATATCCTAGAGTTTCCTGCTCATTCTCAGAGGAATCTCTACCTTACGAATAATCAGTTTAACCGCACAATGGCTTTTTTCTTCTTATTACACGGGCACAAAGCTTTTTCTAACTGCTTTAAAGTGGTTCCGTTCGACAAATATGCCTTACTGATATTAAAGTACAAGACAATACAAACCTTTCATAATTGCTCTTTTTGACTTCAATTTGCTCGTTTTTTCTATAATAAGGATGAGAAAGAGAGCACTGCGACTTATTTAGATTGGCAACTGTTATTTCTCAAGCTCCTTTACACAAGACTTTCTGCCACAAGTTACCGCCACGGGGAAGAGGATAAAGATATGAATTAATAGACGTAGGGTTCTTCATTGAGCTGAAACAATTCAATTTAGATTATATTTAAGTTTAGAAGCTACCGCTACGCAGTGTACTTCAAAATTTTAAAGTTTCACACTGTAACTACAGGCATGCGGGGTTCGTAGCTGGGGGTCTACTCTCGTCCTCCGTCCGACTTCCGTCCGAAACAATTACTGTCAAAAACATTGACTTACAATTATATGGACGTCGGGTCCGCGCTAAAAAGTGTCCGAACTTATAGGGCGTTAAAATCGTATACAGAGCGTCATTCACGCTTCGTTTGTTTGACTGACAGCGAAGCAAGCAAAATTAGACAGTACTGCGATGACATTACAATTTAAAAGCTTTTTCATATTCCTTTACATGTCACTACGTTTAAATAGGTTGACTTGGGACATTTTTTTCGTGGATTTTGTATTAGACCCGTCGTCCATTAATTTGTAAGTCAATGGTCAAAAAAGTAATATTCGACAAAATTAAAAGACAAGTATCCAGTATCAATCTTCATTCGCATCACGCGTCTTTTCATTTGGTCAAGTATTGCTTATTTGGCAGTAATTGTTTCGGACGGATGTCGGACGGAGACCCAGAGTAGACCCCCTGTTCCGAAACCGAGAAACGACAGTCCGAAATGTCACAGGGATCATTTTATCTCCAGGTGTACGAGCGATATTCGTATTTTCTTGGATTCGAATAGGACTTTGTCCACAATCGGACTTAGTGAAGGACGCAGACGATGTATCCCTCAGGTCTTTGCGATTTAAAACTCGCGAGTGTATAAAAATATCATGATAACCATGTCACTTTTTTGAACGGCATCTTTTCCGACAGCTTACTCTAAGCGTCGTATTCTAGAACTCTCAAGGATTTGAGTATGGTTTAAAGCACTCGAAATCATACTCAAGTCCCTGCCATTAGGGTCGTATTTCCAGTGCTTGTGTTTCAGTTGCAATCCTGACTTGAGCATTGAGTAGAGTTCTAGAATACGACCCTAAGTGCTTATTCAAAACTGTGGTAGTGATCCGTTTAGTCCTACAGGTATTCTCAATCTAAGATGTTTGAAACAATTTTTATTTAATTGATAAATTTATTCAAATTTATATTTACAAAAAGCAAACCCTAGAGTTTCTTGCTTATTCTTCTTGAATAAATTGAGAGAGGTGTAAAACAAGGAAACCCTATCTCACCAAAACTTTTTATTGCAGCGCTCGAACAAATTTTTAGAAAACTTAATTGGGAAACAAATGGTTTAAAAATTTCAGATATTTGTCACACTTACAATTTGCGGACGACATAGTGTTGTTTTCAGAGGATCATGTCAAATCATGATAAATTGATTGTGCGAAGAAAGCATTGACTTACAATTATACGGACGTCGGGTCCGCGCTGAAAAGTGTCCGAACTTATAGGGAGTTAAAATCGTATACAAAGCGTCATTCACGCTTTAGACTTCGTTTGTTCGACTGACAGCGAAGCAAGCAAAATTAGACAGTACTGCGATAACATTACAATTTAAATTCAACGTTTTAGATTTTTCATATTCCTTTACATGTCACTACGTTTAAATAGGTTGACTTGGGACATTTCCCAAGTTTCGTGGTTTTTGTATTAGACCCGTCGTCCATTTATTTGTAAGTCAATGGAAGAAAGTGAAAAAGTTGGCCTAAAAGTTAACAAAGAATGACTAACATATCGAGTTCTTAGGTTTTCGCGATTGTTACACGTAGGAAATGAAACTATTTTTCCGGATTTAAATCGCGTATATTTGTTTTTCCAAATAAACCGACGTTTCGGACCCTTTATAGGTCCCGTGGTTACGGTTGACAAACGGTTTTATTAACTCAGAATGAAATACACGGTTAAGGGCATCGACTGTACCTTAACAGTTACCAGGGACTGACAAGAAATGTCGCTTTATTAATTGCAACGGTTTCTTTGTCTAAATGATTTTGCATTCAGTTTGTTCGAATTTTCTGTCAACTGTAACAACAAAGTAGTGACATATTTTCACAAAAAATATGTAAATAAATATGAGAAACAATATTATTATTATTATAACGGCTATTTTAACGAATATATACTTCCGGACACAAAATTCGAGCCACCTCGCGTTTTTGCCTTAAAGGGCTAGAATATAAAAAATAGTGTTATCATCGAAGAAAAAGGTTTCCCCGGTTTTGCAAGTCCATATTTCCAAAAAGGACTTATACTAAACACTTTTAATATACTAGTTTCAAAATTGCGTAGGATAGTTCTTGATCAATCGAACATTGTTTAAGCTTAGGACATTTAACATTGATGCGAGGTGGCTCGAATTATGTGTCCGGGAGTGTATTTTACAAGTTAAGTTGCATACCTTAGTCTTTTCTTCCTTTCATTATTACTCCGCTTTAATTACTTTTTGGACCGTACTTTGGATTTTTCTTTGTGGTTTTTTGTGTGTTTTTCTTTGGATTTTTCTTTAGGTTTTTCTTCGGATTTTTCTTTGTGATTGTCTTTGGAGTTTCTTTTGGGATGTTCTTTTGATTTTTCTTTGGGATTTTCTTCGGATTTTTCTTTGGGAGTGTCTTTGGAGTTTCTTTTGGGATGTTCTTTTGATTTTTCTTTGGGACTTTCTTCGGGTTTTTCTTTGGGACTGTCTTTGGAGTTTCTTTTGGGATGTTCTTTGGACTTTTCACTTTTTTTATTTTGTGACTCGCTTTTATTATTTTCTGGCTCACTTTTATTTTGTGGCTCACTTTTACTTTCTGGCTCACTTTTATATTGTGGCTCACTTTTACTTTGTGGCTCACTTTTACTTTGTGGCTCACTTTTACTTTGTCGCCTGTTCTGGCAATCAGAGTTTTTACAACTTTTACACTCGTAACCTGTACGACATTGCGACTTAGGGCATTTTGGCTTCTTTGAACAACATAACACCGTTACAATCAAAATTAAGAGAGTTAGGAAAAGTAGCAGCTTCTTCATTGCTCTAAAACTGATAATGCATAGAACGACTTTAGCATAGAAATTGCATCTTACAAAACATCATTGAAAACTGCTTGACAAGCAGACATGTCCAGCAGTGAATGCGTCAAAGTTGTTGATGATGATGAAGTATGACATTCACATTATTTTTATGACAGTTAAGGCATTGCGACAGTTTTTTCTATGGTCGTCTTTCAGTTATAATAGATATGGCAAATTCCGTGAGCACAATTTGGGAAAACTTTTCTAAATTCATTCTTGTTGTATTCGATAGTGCAGCAGACAGAAATTAATTCCCTTGATCTGCTATTCAAACTACAGCTCCTAGTTTGATTCCAGGTAATATGTGTAAAAAACACACATACGTTAATTATGCAAAGGTGGATGGCGGGCGGTGGAAAGGATCTACCGCCAACCTAAGGCAGTGTGAGAAAAAGTAATCAGCGTATAACAGCGTGTACAAAGAGGGAGAAATTGTGTGATAAATTATCAGAAAAATTATTATTATAAATAGTTTGACTATATTTATATATTCCAAGATAAATTACAAACCTTAGTCTTCTGTTTATTACTTTTCAGCGTAAGTTACTTTTGGTTTTACGGATTTTTACAACATGCTTTTTTACAACAGCATTTCGGTTTATTGGCTCTTGTTCTACTGGGTCTCTTCGGTTTACAGGGTTTCGGTATGCAGGTAGTCGCGGCAGGTGACGATGGACAGACCTCACCTGGCGGTGGACAGACATGACCACCATTGCATGAAAAGTCAAAACATTGCGAACAATTGGTACCAGGAGGACATTCTCCCGCAGGACATCTCTGGCAACATGTCACCATTGCAATCAAGATTAAGAGACGCAGCAATACAAGCAGTGTCTTCATTGTTCTGAAACAGGTAATATATGAACTTTAGTATTGCCCAGTGCCTTAAATGCAAATACGAGGTGAGTAATTTATTCTATATTGAACTAACTGCCGTAACAAGAGCGAGTTTAGATTTTTTATTTACCTGTTCCTAATAAAAAAAACAAACCTGAAATGACAGTTATGTATTATTATTGTTTAAATATACTAGGTACTATGTATGTGTGTGTAAGCGCACCTCTACATGTAATGTTGCTATTTGAATACACGCGAGGACGCTATTAGCAAGCAGTAGTTTCACTCGTCCCTCCTTCTTACGTATCTATCAGTGGCGACGACTACGCACTCGTTATAAAAAAAAAGTCTGGTTCAATTTTCGGCCTCCTGTAGGCGTGTGACCACAATGTCCAAATTTGGTAAACGTACAAGTGCCGGATATCGCAGTGGCTCATTGCAAATAACATCGACCAGAAAACCGATCCTGCGGGAACGAAAGGCGAGCGATCCTGTTTAGCGCACTCAGTGATGGCACGCACAAACTGGCGGCGGATCTCGCGCTGCCTAAGCTGTTACAAAATGTACCCTACGACGATATCCTCACGCTTCTGGACAGTCATTTTACTCCGAAGCGCTGTGGATTCGGTGAGCGGTACAAGTTCTATGCGTCTACGTAGCAACAAGGAGAAACGTACGCTCAGTGGGCCGCGAGACTCCGTGGCCTTACGGCGCATTGTGAGTTTAGCAACGTGGAGGAAGCACTCCGGGATCGATTCGTCATGGGCATGGTATCAGGGCCCGAGAAGGACAAGCTCTTCGCACACGACCTTAAGGACTTGGACTCTCGCCAAGGCGGTCGCGCTGGCAGAGAGTGTACGCAGCGCGCGCGCTGGCGCCGCTGCCGCACAACCCGCGCCGACCAATGATCAGAGGCGTGCGATCTCGGCCCCAACAGTCGCTACAGGAGACAAAGTGCAGTGTCAAGTGTGCGGGTTTTATAATCATGACTCGTCATAGTGTCGTTTCGCTAAGTGTAAGTGTAAAAAGTGTAAATTTACCGGTCATCTACACAGGATGTGTAAAAAATTAACTACGTAGAATCGGGTGCTGTGGACGAGGGCGATGACAACGACGGTGAGTGTTTTAATATTCGTTCAATAAAAGGAGAACCGAAGACAGAAACGGTAACAATATCGGGGGTTCAACTAAAATTTGAAATTGATAGCGGGTCGCCCGTTACTGCGATCTCCGAAGACATACAAAACATATTTTAGTCATGTACCATTGTCGGTAGCTAAAAAACTACTACTCGGGGGTGGTACTATCCGTTAATTATGCGGACCATTCTCAATCACTTAGTGTTTACGTCGACCAAGACGGCGGGCCGCCAATCTTAGGCCGTGATTTTATTTCATTATTTAAGATTGCCTATACGGTATTGTAAACAAACTGATGAAGATAGTGTGTTAATGCAATTACAATCTCGATATTCGGCTGTGTTTTCGGATAATCTTGGACAATTTAATAAATACAAAGTCAGTTTACAATTAAAAGAAAACGCAAAACCTGTATTTATTCGAGCTTGGCTTGTTAAAACCGGTTAACCACACACGGTATGCGTCACCGATCGTGCCTGTTTAAAAGCGTAATGGGTCAATTAGGATTTGTGCCGATTATTTGACCGGTATAAATAAACAATTGGTTATTGATCAATAATTCTTTACCTACGCTAACGGAACTTTTTGCGAAGGTGTATTGTAACAATTTACAAAATTAGATTTGTCGAATGCGTACAATCAGTTCGTTCTAGATGACGATTCACAAGAGTTGACTTGTATTAACACACCTATGGGTTTGTTCAAATACACTAGCATGGTGTTCAGGCTGGCGAGCGCACCTGCTGTACCTATTCCGCGGGCGCGCCCTACACACTGTGCCTGCTTGACGACGTGCTTGAGCATTTGCAACGACTTAATGAGGTTTTACAAAGATTACAAGACTCAGGTCCTTGCAAAAGGTGGAGTAAACTATCTAGGCAACGTCATAAGTAAAAAAGGCCTAATCTAGTCGCCGCAAAAAGTATAAGCCATGGTGGATACGCCAGTTCCGACCAATGTTAAGCAGCTTCAATCGTTTTAAGGACTAGTAAACTATTACCGAAATTTCTTACCCAATGCGTCCGCAATATTAAGTCCATTATATGAATTACTAAAAACTAGTACTGAATGGTGCTGGACGCCCAAGGCTGGGCAGTATTTGAATTATTTGTAATTGAAATACGTATTTAAAATACAAATACTTGTTTTGCATTTGTATTTCAATTACTCGTATTATGTAATTTGTATTTCAAATACTTTCGTTGTACATTTCAACAAAATACTTTTTTTTCAATGTACAGCCTATTATGTGATGTGCATAGATTTATATGATATTGAACTCAATAGTGACGTGTGTGTGTGTGTGTTTGTATGTGTGTGTATATAAACCTTACAGGATGAAAATGTAGGCAACACTGCATGGTAATGTCAAAGATGTCAAAGTCATCTTTTCGCGGTTATAACTTGACTATGGAAACCAAAGGACATGTTATATTGACATATCTATATCAGACGTTATATGTATGTGATGCATTTAGACGTTGAAACATAAACATTTTATTGTCTTTGTTTAACTACTGCGTGCCGTCGTAAGCCATAAGAGATAGCACTACATTAATATAAGTCAAACACGGGAATCGGAAGGTGCGTAACGTCATCTTAAATGCCAACTGTCCTCATGTTGCCATATTTGTAGTACTCTTTGATAACCGTTTCCAGTTGTCAAAGGGAAGTACATCAAATGTCAAAACCAAGGTTTTACCAAATGTCTTAGTGAATTATTCGCAAGAATTGTAACGAAATGGACAAAATGTTGACAGTGAGAACAATTAAGTATTGATAAAAATGCGTCGCTGCAGTATTAAGGGGTGCGGCAGTAGAAAAAGCGGAAATCAACCAAATGTTACATTACACCGGCATGTGTTATTTTTCTGATAAATCATACAATAACCCAAATATCTCCACGTAATTAGACTCATTTAAGTAGTTTATTCGAATTTGGCTTTGGTTACTACAGATTGCCTGTTTGTTAATATATTTTGATGATTGTTGATAATGATTATTTTGAGATAGTGTTGTTCTTGTAAGCATACATCTTATCGATATTCTGTTATTAAAACAATTGACTACGAGGTTTTTATTATTTCATTACTATTATTATTTTTGAAGGTTATCTACAAATCGAAAAAGAAAGTGAAAATGGTTGGAAATTATAGGTCTGTGGAATATATATGTAAGATCGTTCGTTTGTTCGCCTCATTTTGAAGAAGAAAATTTTAATAGAACTTTGAATGTAACTATAGTTACGTGCATGTAATATATTACATGATAATGCAATTCCATCGTTACATTTATAGGTAAATAACTTTATATTTCACTTTGATTAAATAGACTCATTACTAGGCACTCTCAGTTCCTTAAAACAAAATTGACAGCGGCCAATATGTGAACCGCTCGAGATTAAATTATTAGCCTCATGTTTGTTTAAAACGAAGTTAAGCGCTTCAATGAAAATATTTTTATGACATAGGTAAATAAATTATTTGACAGGAAATAAGATGAAAATTTCATCGTGATTTTAA